ATCACAAGGTTACAGCAGTCTGATCACTGATTGACTCTAGAGCTCTTCATTATACTCAATACTTTATGGACTACTTCAAAACCATGCAGTACCAACTGAGTAGAGGTCATTAAAGAACACCATCTGGTTCAGTTAACACGCTCATTAGCCTCTGAAGACTTGCAGTATTCTGTCTGGACAGTCCTTGGAAGGATTTTATTCTCATAGACATAGGAGCTTCCTGAGTCCTCTTTCCAGAGCAGTGGAGATGGTGCAGTTTTCCCCTACCCTCGTACCCATGTGAGTCTGAAACTCAGTGCTGAAGAACCTTCCCTCAGGAAGATCCCTCAGGATCTTTAAGTCCCTGTGTATCACAGTCAGCCTCAAAGTTTCTCCTTACTTGCCACAACCCTTTCCAATGCCTTAAGCTTCAGCACAATTTGAGTGGGCCATTTCTTTGCCTTCAGTCTGGCCACAGTTTCACAAGACTTCTGTGAAGCAACCACCTTCTCTGTCTCCGTAGCCCTACTGGTAGCGTGGATGTAATGATAGCTTTAGCATTTGGACATGTCTGCCAGGGACTGGGCAAAACAGAAGGTAAAATCTGTCCTGGCTTATTTGTGCTGGTTATAATTCTGTGCCAAAGCCAAATGTTAGCCCACAGAAAAATTTTAAACAGTAGTGTCAGAGTTATTGGCTATTTTCCTGCAGTTGCTCTTGTCACTGTCACTCCCATGGGATTCTACTGTTTAAATGCAGATGTCTGCATCTGACCTTGCTGTTTTAAATGCCGTTAAGGGACAATGGAGACAAACATATCCTTCTGACTTTTTCTCTCATCCCAAAGTAGACATCTAAAATAGGTCAGATGACTCATGTCTTAGAATGAGCACTTGCCTGTTTGTAGGCACCCACTGACTCTAAAGGGTACCTAGGGACCAGCTCAGACATCAGCACTCACGACACAGTTTCTGAAATAACCTGAAATGAATCCCCTTCTGCAGATCTGTATGCCATTAAAACGAGTAATTTCAAGTTTAAGATTGTTTTCACGCAAACAGGCTCCCCTCCACGTTCTTAGTACATGATGGCTTCAGCCCCCACCCCAGGACTGACTTTCTCAGGCTGATGAAAAGCATAGCCTTGGCGCCTGGGGGCTGGAGGGCAGGCGGTGCAGGAGCATCCTCATCCAGCCTGGAGACTGAATCATTTAATCTCCAGGAGAATGGGACATCGTGAGTTTTATATCACCCCCAAAATTTCCAGAGAAACTTAAGGGACAATAACATATATGATGTATGAAACCTAGTATAACAATAATTCTTGGTTTTTAACTTTGCAAAAAGCCAAAGTTAAGCAAGTGATTACGCTATCAAACATTTGCAAATAGAGAAGAAAATCCATTATCCACACTCCTCATGTGTCATGTTGCTTTGCCCTCAAAAGCTGTCTAATCTCTTCCTTTTATTAAAAACTGTGTTTTCTCCTTTGCTGCTTCAGCACCATTGCTAGGTTGGAGTTGGCCCTGTCTATATCTCCCTCTCTTCTAACACATCAGTACATTTTTTAATTTGCTTTTTCTGTCATTGTCCTTAATTACAATACGATTTTTACTTGAAAAACTTTCTTACACATTTCTCACAGCCATCTAGATAATATTTCACAAAACGAATCTATGAACATATTAGATTCGTGGCGTGGGAGTCAGCTTAAGACTAAACCACAAAAAGTTTTGTACCTAATTGGGAGTTAGGCATTGCATCCAATACAAATCTTGTTAATATAGTTAATGGAGCCTCAAGAGTGACTCAGATAGCAGTCAGACTACCTTGAGTTGAGGTGTAGCCCCCCCTAAATCCTACCTGTATCATCCATCAGGTGTCAGGCAGCACTCTTCCCCTGTATCTGCACACTTTGGTTTGGCAGGAGCCCATCAGAATAGTGTAACATAGACTCACGTATGTGCAAGCAGATGAAATGAAGGCAACCCTCTCTATTTTATAAAGCCCTGGTATCCCTTACGGCACTCTTTCTTCTGTAGTACCTAAATTAGTTGCAGAATCCCATCTGTGGATCTTCTCGGAGACATGCCCTGAACTAAGTTAAAATAAAATAATAATTTTAAACTTTGCTAAGCCTAAGTCATGTCTAGAACCTGCCAGAGCCCTTATGTGGTACCAAGTATGTGACAGTGGTCTAGAAAAAGAAATATCCAGGAATTAAGTATGTGACAGTGACCTAGAAAAAGAAATATCCAGGAATTATTTGTGTAGTAGGTTGAAGAGTCCTTCCCACTCTCCTCTTACACTCTTGTAAAGGAGAGAAGAGCAATGCCTTGGGGCTGTGCATCTGCACCCATGGGCCATGGTCCGTATTCTGCCACTTGTTTCTCATGGGGAATTTCTCTGCTTTCAAATGTTGCCATGAGCAAACAGCACTGTCCTAACAGGACTGGAGGGAAGATAAGTGAGTAAAATATGATGCTGTGAGATTTGTGTTCAGGGAAAGGATAAGGGTCAGAAAATAGCTTATAGCTAGATGCCAGGCTGTGAATAAGCTAGACTATGGAGGATATGCATAGAAGGATAATCAACCAAAATGTATGTATTCTGAGCATAAAAATTGTTCAGTTTACGTAGCCTGTGGATTTGCCCTGCAGCAGCATGTTAGAGCCTTAACAATCGGACAAGCAAAAAAAATTGCATTTTAAATTTCTGCACTATCCTTGTAAAGAGCCTTGCTATCAAGTCAAGAAGTGAAGCCTTATTGCCCATCGTTGAAAAAGCCCAATTTCAGCAAAGTAAATTGAAACATGTGGCAGGGGCGGGAGGGGAAGGAAAAAAGTGATCTCCACACTTTGAAGTTATGAAGGACTTTGGAATGGTTCAGGTGAAAGCATTACCAGAGAGAAGTGTTTGACCCAGTCTGTCCATGTGAAGCATTTTATCAAGTTTTAGTGCTTGACGTGCTGCTTGTCAGCTTCAATCTCTTCTCTTTCTTCTCTCATCAGGAGGCCAAGAAGACTGCATCCTTTCTTATGAACCTGTCACCAGGCAGGAAAGTAAGTTTCATCTGCTTTTGTGTCACTGTTCCTTGTATTTTTCATTTTGTAATTTGAGGGCCAGCAGAGCAGTAAACTTTGCTGTGCCAGTCCCAGACACTCTGGCTGCTTTTTCTTGGCCTCTCGGTCTGTCGCATACAAAAGAAATGATTTAAGGGTCTCCCTCGCTAGTTCTCACCTCCTAACGTTCTCAGGGCTGTCTCCGGCATGCTCTCGTGGCAGTTACTAATACACACGTTAATCGGTCTACCAAATATTGGTGCAGATTTTCTAGATTTACTGCAGTATTGTTACAGGGGAAGCCTTTATTATTTTCCTTCTCATGTGATACGTGCCTCTAACCAGAGTAGATCAACCAACAGGAAGGCAACTGAAAATGGGAGCGCACCCACCTGATTTAATGGGGGATGTGCTCATATAACTGAGGAGAAAAAAATGCTACAATCTCCTTTCCATGCCTCATGAGAGAGTCCATCTGCAAGTGTTTGGGAGTGACCCTGTTGAGCGATAGCAAATATATACACTTCCAAACAGTTGTTGGACTACATGTGCGTGCAACATCACAGAGCTCTGAGCTCTGCCAAAGGAGTAGTACTCATTCCTTTCTCCTCATCCATGTGTCATGGTTTTAACCTGATTGGCAACCAAACACCACGACGCCACTCACTCACCCTTCCCCACCCTATGGGATGGGGGAGAGTATCAGAGGGGTAAAGGTAAGGAGACTTGTGGGTTGAGATAAGAACAACTTAAAAACTGAAATAAAATAATAGCAATTAGTAATAATAGTAATAGTAATAATAATAATACAAACAAGTAATGCACAGTACAATTGCTCATCACCTGCTGACCAATGCCCAGCCCGTTCCCAGCTAGCAATCCCAAAGCAGAGAAATCCCAAAACCACAATTCCCAAAGACAAACTTCCCAGACAACCCTCATTTATATATTGAGCAGGACGTCATATGGTATGGAATATCCTTTGGCCAATTTGAATCATTTGCTCTGGTTATGTTCCCTTCCAGCTTCATGTACACCTGCACACTAGCAAAGCATGGGAAGTTGAAAAGTCCTTGATTTCTCAGTGACAACTAAAAACATGAAGGTATTATTAATGTTCTGCTCGCACCAAATCCCATACTAAATCCAAAACACTGCACTATTCTAGTTACGAAGAAGAAAACTAATGCTATTGCAGCCAAAACCAGGACACTATGTCAATAAATAAATCAATAAAATGTACACCTAAGTTTTCCCTTCATGCATAAAGGCAGCAACTCTGGTTAGTGCATCTTTGAGAAGGTTTACTGTTATTGCCAGTAAGATCATAAAAATGTGCCTTTCTTTTTGTTGTTCAGTTAATTACACCAGGCCGGTTATTATTCTGGGTCCTATGAAAGATCGGATCAACGATGACTTGATATCTGAGTTCCCTGATAAGTTTGGGTCGTGTGTACCACGTAAGTACGATTTTACTCCTTGTTCTGCAGCTGAGTGAGTTATATCCCTCAGTGCCACACATTAAGTAAATTACTGTGAAAGCAGCATCTGTGTGCTATACGTAGCTGAGTTTCTCAAAAGCCATTTTTTCCATTGGACAAAAAAAGGGAAAGGAATAAACTGGAAAGAATTTCTGAAAGGAATTGTCTCAAAAGCTACAGCATTTTTTGAAACAAGGCCTTACAGCCACTAGCTCAGTTTACTCATCAGTTAATGTGTGGTTTCTAAAATAAGATAAAAGTTTGAAATACAGGTAAAATGTGAAATGTTTCAACTCAATTTCACAGCATCCACCAATAAAAACACAGAGTAATCTGTGATTTGTGCGAGATCTAGACTGTCTAATCTGAAAGCAATACTGGACCCTGAATCATAGATTCATAGAATGGTTTGGGTTGGAAGGGACCTCAAAGGTCATCTAGTGCCAACCCCCCTGCCATGGGGGCAGAATGAATTAAGCAGAATGTTTATATCTTGGGTCATTAGAGCTCGCTGAGTGTTTCTTTCAGGCCCTGATGGCGGTCTTACTGCATTTTAAACTGTTGTCTCTGCAAATACACCAGCTTTAAACTGCTAGAGGTGAAATGAGAATCAGGCTTATAATTAAGGCTAAATTAAATTGATGAGATTGCCATTCATTTTATCATTGTAATAGGATTAGATTTACAATCTAGAACACATTTCGTATTTGAGGTTTATGTGTGATTCTGCTGAAAAAAAAAAGTGGAATTCTAGTAAATCCTAATTTGTTGTTAGCCTGTAAGTATTGATTGGAGGGAAACATCAGAAGGTATTGCTACAGAAAAAAAAAAAAAAAAAGACTTTTTTGCTGTAACTCCATTGAAAACAATATGTAGTAGACAAAGATCTGCTCCCAGATGTGGAGCACCTCCACTTAGAGCAGACCCAGCATTGCCCACTGAGCAAACCTGAATTGCTGCATTTTTTGCCCCAAATGTATTTACAGACTTCTTGATCTTCGGTCTTTTGTTTGCTGCAGATACCACACGGCCAAAGCGTGACTATGAAGTGGACGGGAGAGATTATCATTTTGTCATTTCAAGAGAACAAATGGAAAAAGATATCCAAGAGCACAAATTTATAGAAGCTGGGCAGTACAATGATAATTTATATGGAACTAGTGTCCAGTCTGTGAGATTCGTGGCAGAAAGGGTAGGTTGATACTAATTTTATTGACCATGCAACATGATCTGTGTTGTTTCCACATTGTATCTGAGGCATGGTTCTTCTGCCTAAAATATAAAAAATCTGTAAAATGGCATCCTAATATTATAGACTTTATAATGACTCCACAAATGGAGTCTCTGACTTTGAATGACAACATTCTTGGCACTTTCTGTACCTGGATGTAGTGCCATGGATTCAGGGATGTAACACAGTGTCTCAAGTACGCCCCAAAACAGCCTTCGCTCTTCCCTCTATAAGGAGAGTAAACAAACTTATCTCACTTTCACAGAGGCAAAAGAGGGAAGCACAGAGAGATTAAATGACTTGCCTCAGGTGACACAGAGAGTCTTTGACACAAACAAGAACTGAATTAACCAGTAAGAACGTAGGCATCCTATTATTTTTATGAACTGATTTTCCTCATCTCTGAAGAAAATCACCCCCCCACCAAGTTCATCCCAGTAAAAATTGAAACCAGCTTTGTTCTCGTATCTCCAGTGTGGCTTTTTTATTAGCACCAAAGGAAAGGAAAGAGTGCAGAGGAGCAGAGCGCATGCCCTGGGGTCCTCCTTCCCCGATGTGCCAGTAATGGCCCTGTCCCAGAGCACTGCAGCACAGAATTGTTTCCCCTCTTTTGGCTGATCTGCAGCAAACTGCAAAAATAAACACATCCTCATCTGTTTCCAACAGGGCAAGCACTGTATACTCGATGTGTCAGGAAATGCTATCAAACGACTACAAGTTGCACAACTCTATCCCATCGCTATCTTCATTAAGCCTAAATCATGGGAGCCTCTGATGTAAGTATAAACTCCTTCAAGCATTTTACTTTCAGGGTACAGTCTCAAGTGGCACAACACAGGTCTTGAGTCTACGTTTTGCACCTCCTCTAAGATCAGTAATAACGAGGATAAGTAGGAACAGCGAAGACTTGCTCTCCCTGCCAGCCATCTGCTGTACCCTGGTGTCTCAAGGAATGAGTCAAAGCTGCCTTTGAACCTTTCGCACTGGGACATGTGGGCTTACATGTTGGACCATGAAAGATTCCTATCAGTGCTCCATGCACTTGTTCCAACCTGTGCAGCAAGTTCACCAAGGACTCATGCAGCATGGCTCGTCCCATCCAGTCTCGGGTGCTCTCAGGGTGTAAAGTCTGGTCACAGGGGGCACACCAGAGGGTAAATCTGTGTCACATTAATGGTGTGTGCCTCTTTATCAGCCCTTCACTTACTTGAAGGTCTGTGAAAGGACTGGCAAGGACCCATGAGACTGGAGAGGAGCAAACACAACACTTAAAGAAGGAAAGAGAAGGAAACAACTCCATGCTGTCACCAGGCAACCTAATTTCTATACTCAGAAAAACCCTGAGATCCAGGGAACAGTTAAGCAACTCAAGTATAATAACTGAGAGGATAAAAAGGTTATAAGAGGCAGCCAATATATATGTATCAAGAGCAAATCAAATCAATCTTATTTCCTTCTTTCACAGATGGATATCAATAATAGTATTGCATCTTGATTTTTTTTCTGGCTCCATGGGACATTCTCAGTAGCAGTTTAGGGAAATATAATATTAATAATCAGGGAAATGTAAGATTAGAGAATTATAGTCCAAAGGGAATAACTAGAGAGCATGTGCACAACCATACTCAGTCATTGAAAATGGCACTGTTAAACTGGGAGGGTAACAGAAATCCTGCAAGTATATTTCTTGAGCTATGTCCCTATTTAGAACCATTTTTTATTTTCATGAACTACTTGCACGATGAATTGGGCAATACTTTTGTAAAGTTTGTGCATAACTCAAGGCTGAGCGAGGTGGCAAGCACTTTGGAGGATGAGATTAAAACTCAATGTAAAATCAGGAATATGAAATTCAGCACAGATAAAGGAGAGAAAATGAAACTCACAGATACAAGCAGGGAATAATTAAGCTAGAGCACTGCAGAAAAGCATCTGGTGGTTGGGATGGATCACAGGAATATGAATGGATGGATAATGCAGTTGCAAAAAAGGAAACTGCCACTGGGCACTGTATTAACATCAGTGTTGTATAGGGAGACAATAGACAGTTATTTCTTTTTACTGGGTATGGATGAGGCCTCAGCTGGAGCACTGATCTGGTTCTGGATACCACCCTGGAAGTGAAGGAGGAACGAGGGTTACCTAGTGTCAAGGAGAGAAGGGCGAGGAGGAAATATGGTAGCGATCTTCATACTGGTTAAAGCTCAGAATAAAATACATTGCGATCCATTGTTTTCCATGTAGACTTATGGTAATGTGAGAATTTATCAGCTTAATCTGCTGTGAAAGGGGTGCAGTTTTGAACTCTTTGCCTTCCTTTCACCAAAGGCTCTGTAAACAGCAGGTGATGCCATAGGTATTTGTTACACAGCTAACACAGAGGCATCCTCCCTCCTATAATAGACACATATCTGGTTATGGTAAAGATGTGCCCACAAACATTGGAGCTGGAGACTGTTAAGGTGCCCCATCCCGTGACTGAACATGCATCCTCCCTGGCCCTGCTTTTTGGCATGTTGGGCTGGATGACTTCTTGACATTTCTTCCAGCTCCACAATTCAGTTATATTCTGATTATCTTGCTGTATAGAGGGGGAAAGGTGTTCTGATAGCCTACATTCGGCATTGATTGTTTTAAGATAGATCGTAACCTACAAATTTTCCATCCATAAAATATTTCCATTATTTGTTTAATACTGACATTGCATCTGGAGTGATAAAAAAAGTAAATAAAAGTGGCCCTTACTCTGGAAAATACGTAAGGCACAACGAGAAATGTGGCAGTAACATAAAGGCTTCATTGATTTGATGTAAGAACAGCAGATTCTTGAGCAGATTGATTGAAAAGTGTCACGAAGATGCAAAATATTATTATAGTCATCCTGCTATTAAACCAAAGCAATGCTAATATTTCACATAGGACAAAACAATTTATGCAGAGTTAGCATAATTTTCCTCACTGATATATATCAAAAGTAAACTTTTCTTCACTATCCAGATCTAAACCTGACTCAGTCTTGACAGTACAGTAGGGACAAAGTGAAATTCATATATGACTTTGAATTTCTTGTTCTGCAAATACCCTGTGGAAGGCACCCTTAATTAGAAATCCAAACTTTCGTCAGACAGCAGAAGTCCTTAAATATCAGTACTAGTTTGGGAATTTTTGCAGTAATATGGCTTATACAAATAAATAATGTAAACACAATACAACTCCTGAAAAAAAGTGAAAAATGTAATGAATTCAGGCATTCTAAATTAGTTTATCCCCTGCAGCCTGCTCTCCACAAGTAATCTTTCTATCTAGTTAATCTACCTAATTTATATTTATCTTATCAAGCAGCACCCAAAATTAATTTCTAACAGAAATAAGAACTCTTTTCATGTAAACAATATCATTCTTTTTAAAGAATTGTCTTGAAAATAATGACATAACTGTGACCCCTTTGCTTGTGAAAAGCATTTATTTTATTTAGTAATGAAGCTGAGCCACTCAGGGTCTGGCTAAACAAATACATACTCTGACAAAAGCAGTAGCGTGTTGTAGGGCGTGCATAAGTTAACGATACAACTATTATTATAATCTATTAATTATTATATAGGTTATATAATAGTTACATGGTAAACCAGTGCCTTGTAGCAACAACAAGAGGACATTTTTATGACAGTGTTAACTGTGTTCACTCAGTCTTTTTTCTGTATGGAACTACTACAACACAAAAATTACAGATTTATCTGCCATAACTGCTACTCCTGTTCGTACAAATGAGTTGAAAGTTAGTGTAGTAGTAAAGTAAAACTATAAAAGGCAAAAAAATGCTAATCAGAAGATGCCGAGAATCAAAGTCGAAAGATTTAATTTGTGGCAAAAGTAGCACTTAAATTTCAAAGGTCACCGAATCAGAGAACGATAGAATGCTTTGGGTTGGAAGCGACCTTAATGATCGTCTTGTTCCAACACCTCTGCCATGGGTATGGACACCTTCCACTAGATCAGGTTGCTCAAAGCCTCATCCAACCTGGCCTTGAACATTTCCAGGGATGGGGCATCCACAGCTTCTCTGGGCAACCTGTTCCAGTGTTTCACCACCCTCACCGTGAAGAATTTCTTCCTTATATCCAATCTAAATCTGCCCTGTTTCAGTTTAAATCCATTGCCCCTTGTCCTATCACTACACGCCCTTGTAAAAAGTCCCTCCTCAGCTTCATCATTTCTCAGAGTCTTATTCTCATTTACACATATTTACACATATTCTCCTCTGCACCCACCTGACAGTGAAGGTAAGAAGAGTCAAGGGAGCATAAATTCAGCTTGCACCTGCACTTGAAACTTGGTTGATTCTCTGGAAATACCCTACTAACACTAATGACCACAGCAATGGAAGACCATAAGGTGCTATTGGACGTAAAAGTAACCAGAACACATGGTCTGAGCTGTATGTCTCCCGATTCTTTTTTTTTTTCAATTAAATTCAATTTTGGCAAACAAATTACTGTAAATGAGCTGCTCCCACTTCCTTCTTTCCCCATCTTTACATGGCACCACCTCACATGTTTAATCTCAGAGGGGTCCCTGTTGGTACCTCTCAATCAGCCTCTCTCTCTAGAAGGACAACTGTGGTGGGATCATGGGTACGAGAGCTGGAAGTAATGAACAGCATGTGCCTGGGTGAGCTCTTCACTGGGAGAGGAGGAAAATCTTGGAAAATGTGCCTGGAGGGACAGCTCTTTGCAACCATTTTGAATTCAGCTGTACAGGTCCCCGGCTATTGTTTGACAGCACTTTTAATTCATCATGAAAAATGGATGTCATTGTCCTCCCCTTTCTCCATTATCTCTCCAGAAGGCTTGAGGCATGAATACAACTAGCACAGTTTTACTCCCCAGGCAAATCTATACCCTGCATATATAATGCAAATTTCTGCTTATTTCAAAGTATTTATTATTTTAAATGCTTGTTTATATCTTTATTTGTATTTTCTCCTCCGATATTCAAAGATCTTGAGGAAGACTTCTCAGGAACTTAGCAGAAATAGATCTGGAAGGAGGAGGATGTTGTTAGCACTACAATATTGGCTGAGTGTCCTTAAGATGACAAGTTTGCATAAGAATTTGCATGCTATGTCCCACTTCAAGACAGAGTTTTGGTTCAGTTACCTAAAGACACGTTCAAGTAGGCACAGCTGATGAGAAGCCCGCCTGAACTCAATTAGATAGCAATCCTTCCAATAAATAGAATTAGTAGTATTACAAATTTAGCAGCATGACACAGACTGGCATATATTAAACCTATTTATATAATCCACAAATAACTGTCATGAATTTTTAAAGAAATCTTTCTTCTTCATTTCATAAACCTGCTTTATGCATTGCATTGTACTTCCGGAGAGATTTTTCTGAGCAGTGTTCCCAGCTATATGATTAGTAATATAGATAAACAGCTTTAAGTCATTTCTAGAAATACCTCTTTGCATCCTGGACACCTTACAGGGTGTTTTTCAGAAGCCAGGTAGGACTCAGCTGTAGCAAGTTCATATTGTTGTACACTTCATAGATCATTATTTTATGGACCATCATGCACATAATTTCCTACATGTATCACCCATGTCATAGTGTACATAGTCCATTACCACATAATCATATGATTTAGTGCATGGCATTAAAACAAATCTGTGTAGAACACAAGATGCTCCCTTCTCAAAACAGAATGCTCCACCAAATGACAAAATGGTGCCAATAACAGAACGTTACTGACACTGTCTATATTTTTACATCTATCGGTGCCCTGTACATTTTAGAACATACAAGACACGCTTGACTGGGAATCTCCATAGTTAATCAGAAAGGACTGGAACAGAGAACACAAATAAGTAACTCGTCCTAACACTTTCTACTGGGAAGACTCAGTCTGAATTCTGATGATTATCTGGAACTCATGTCCCCACCTGAACCAAGAAGTGTCCCTAGAAGATATGATGGGTTCATTCTGGGGCTTCCCTACAGGGATTACAATGACTCTGGGATTCCTCCTACAGGGTCAGGAGCCTCACTGTGCCAAATCCTGTCTTTAATCATGCTTTCACTTTTATAATACCAGCCTCTGTCAAAACTCAACTTCCATTTCATCAGTTTGGACAATCTTATTCATCCAAGACAGCCAGCTGTGGGCCTGGAAGATAGGGAGGTTCCTGAAGGAGGCAGGAGTGCTCTGACTGCAGAGACCTTGAGTCCTCCTGGCCCCCAGACTCATTCAAGGCTTCCTGATGTCACAAGTCCGTCTCAGTTAGCGGTTACCAGATGTGGGTCTCATGTTTTGTTTGGGAATGTAGAGTAGTGAGCCCAAAATAAACATTTAGCGGAGAAATGGGAAATAGTCTGGAAACGTAGGTTTATACTACATAAAAATGAAATTAAATTTAAAATACTGAAACTGCCCATGAACTGATGGAAGAACTTCACTTGATTCTTGGACTGATCTCAGTCCATTTGTGATTCAGTTGAGCATATCTTTTAGAAAGCCATTCTAGTAAGAATCTAAACTTCTTGACAACTTCATCTGTGTTTCCAGGGAAATGAATAAACGTCTTACAGAAGAGCAAGCGAAGAAAACCTACGATCGAGCAATTAAATTAGAACAAGAATTTGGAGAATATTTTACAGGTATGTTTTTATTAAAAACATTTTTTTTCCCCAAGGTATATTCTTTTATTGCAAAACAACTAGATCAGCTCTGTCTCTGGTCTAGAGTGCATATCAGCATAGTGTGCCCACAGTAAGGACTCCTGGCTTGGGACTATTGATTGCCTAAAATTCAAGGGCTGTTGAGGCATTTAAATCCTCAGAAGTTTGATGCCCTGAAGGAATAGCTATGCATTAATTTGATTCACTCCCTGACCCAAAACTACTTTTAATGACGTCAGTAAAAATGTTGCATCGTTGCATTTGTACAGACCAAAATATTCCTCACTAGCTCAAGGCAAGAGCTCCAGCTACAGATCGTGGGAGGCAAAGAGAAAAGCATCTTCTTCCTGACCTGGAAAAGAGCAAGATTTAAGACCTACTCTGGGCCCCAGCACTTCCTTTGGGTGGGTTTAGGCAGTTCCTTACTCAGGGGACTGATATTTGTGGATAACACTCAGAAGTCCCCAGTTGTCCCTCCACATGCTGACAGTGTGCATAATCTGAACTGCAGTTCCAGATTTCTGCTGGAGGTACAAGGAATTTAAGAGTATAGACACTGTGCTTTGTGTTGCAGTTGCTTTATCTTCTGTTAACTTGGGCCTGATCTAGTTAATTTTTGCAGCCACAAGTGAGACTATTATAACAAGGTCAGGAAAAGAATAGGCTGTAAATCTGCTGTTACTCACTGCTGAAGTAGCTTCTAAAACAAATTAAATGTAAAGCTTGACTTGCAACAGTAGGAACATGCCATGCTGCCCTCTCATGGGATAGAGCTGCTAGTTCTCTAAACTAACCTAGCTCAGTCGTCTCCCTGCAAGCAGTGGGATGGGTCTCTGTCATGGGAAGGTGACATTGGTTTGAACTTAGTTGCCATCTGTAGGAGTATGACTCTTCCATAGTCAACAACATCCCAGTGTTCTAGTATTCCTTCTCATTTCATCAGTATCTGTGAGTACACTGAAAATCTGCTGACACGGGATTCTGTAGAATATATCCATTAAAAGAAATATTGATATGTTTTCTTACTGCAGCTATTGTCCAAGGAGATAGCTTAGAAGATATATATAATCAATGCAAACTTGTAATTGAAGAACAATCTGGGCCTTTCATCTGGATTCCTTCAAAGGAAAAATTATAAATTAGCCACTGCACCTCTGATTACGACGGGAGAATATTTAGAAGAAAACTATAATATACTATTTGGAGGCTTTCCTGTTTTTGTTGCATTTATGTTCTTTGCAGTCAATGTGAATTTTGATGAATGTACAACACAAAGTGTTTGAAGCCATGAAGGACACTGATGGGTCAAAGGGTAGGAACAAAAAGACTTCTACCATATAAAGCAAATCTGTTGTGTGCTCAGAGCACCAGTTGTAGGTATAAACTTTTGACATGGAGACCCTCTGTCAAGGGGAGCTAGCCACCTCCTGTGCCCATGCGGACATTTTGATCAATTTCAATGGCTGAGCTCAGTGTGTTGATTGCTTTAAAGAGAAGTTCCCAGCTCTTGAACCTCATATAGGGCTTGATCCTGCAAGGCGCCCAGCACTTGACCCCAATTCCTACATGAGTAGCCTGTTGACATGGAGTCACTTGTGACCTTTCCCTATGCCATTCAGTCCCATCAATTCCAGTAGGACTATTCATGTGCTCAAAGCTAAGCACGGGCTTAAGCGTTTAGCTAGACCAGGGCCACATGCACCTTGCAAAATCAAGCTCAGAGTACTTGGTCCAGTTCCTACTGAAGTCATTGGTAGGACACTCTTTGACTTGACTGGGAGGTGGATCCTATTCTAAGCTTGTCATTGCACATTTGTAGTTGGTACACCTCGACTTCGGTAACTATGCACATTTTTTGATTTCTGAACCCAAGTCAAGCATTTCGTTTTTCCCCTTTGGAAACACTATTGCATCAGGAACTAATAACAATATAGTTTATTTTAATGGAGTTTGGGGGTGGGAGAGGATGGAAGCATTTCACATCACACACATGTGCACACAAACACATTCCCAAGCAGACACACACATGTATGAGGATTCACGGACACACACACGTATGAGGATTCACAGCACCTATGTTGACAAGGAGGGATACAACTGGGAAAAGCTTTAAAATTTTTGATTGTCTATTTTATCATTTATATTGATAGAAGGCACTTAAAGATGGAATAATTTATAAAAATAAAAAATATATTGATGTATAGAAACTAATTTCTATAGGTAAAAAATGTTTTTGTGAGATATTTTGTAAAGATTAATTAATTGAAAGATTAAATATTTACACCCTTGCGTGACTGTAAAATGTAAAGAGGACCATCAAGTTGCATTATCCCTTTTCTGTAACAGATTCTCTATTAATGACAAGCAAGATAGTTGCTTAAATTGTAGCTGTCGGCTTGTTTTTCTCTCAATTTAATCGTTTCCCTTGCCTCTATTTAATTATGATGAACTCCTGTGGAAAGATCTCTTGAACTGACTGCCCTGTAGGACCTTTTCGAAACACAAAAGGATAATGCATCTTTAAATTGAAAGGGACGATTTTTTGGAAGCAAAACGTCAGTGCTTGAATGCAGTTAATAATTTCTCTCTTGGAGGGAGTCACACTTCACCTCCAAACGTTTTAGGATTCTTCCTGTTTCTTTAAAGGAAATACCAAAAGCATTTGATCTTTCCTCTCTTTGTAGGCAGGCAGGTCACCGACTAACTTGTATCTTCATTCATTTCACAGTCAACAAGGGTCTTAAAAGCAAAGACTGAGGCAATAGACATTTGTGAGGGATCTAGGGAAAGTCTGTGGAATTGCAGTTCGGGGCGCACGGAAGGGGAGAGGTGGGTTTTCCTCGTTTCACATTGCCCTTCCTCTCTGTACTGATGCCATTCTTCACTCTGACACCCGAGGGGACAACTGCAAGAGAGATTGTGACAGTGAACTGAATTGCCTTTGCTGCTGCTGGACCAAGTTTTATAGAAAACCCACACTCTCCTGCCCACTGAGCCGCAGGAGGCCAATACTTGTCAGCTGGTGGCTACAGCAACCCTGATGTTTAAGGGCGTTTTAAGGGCAAATGCTAAATAGACTCCTCAGTTGCTTGTCTATTTGGAGCTTACATTTCTATACCCTGTCAAGCTGACAGGTACCTCCAGCCAGCCTCCGCAGAGAGTGCGACCAGCTGGATGTCTGCAATAAGCCACCAGCAGTGACAGGGTTAAAAATACGGGCGTTTTAGTGGCCCTGAGGTGGCCTCTCACTTAACTGCCCTACTATGGTAACTTGGAGAAGTTCACACTTCTTTTACTACTACTTTTCTTGCCTGGCCAGCGCAGATTTATAAACAAGGGTTTCAGTTAAGTCTCCGTAAGAGCTTTGTAACCAGAAGGGCTAGAAACATTTTTTTATTTTTACAAAATATAAATGAATGAAAGCTTTGATTTTGGAAAATTCTGCAGAAGTCCACAGAGTGACCCCAGATCTTTGGAAGCCATGGATTTTTCCATGCTGGCAAAGTCCTATTGCCCCAGGTTGGGAAACAGCCCACTGGACCTGAAAAAAAACAAAGTATCCTAAAGCAGGAATTTCATTCTAATTTTCGGTTCTGTTTTTAAGCAATCAGTCACATCTGCTTCTTTGTTTCTTAGTTCAGCATGCAGCCTTTTACAGCACTATCCTACTAGTAACTGTTTTGCTTTGTCATGTGCTGTGCTTTACGGTGAACAGTAACACTACGGCTGAGTACAATCAATTTTTCCATCAGTCCTTGGTTACTGTAGAAACATTATTTATTTTTCCCTGTCTGTTGTTTGTGCTTCCAGTTTAGAGTTGCCATTGCACTTCTTTTTTTTTTCTTTTTTTTTTTTTAAATAAAACATATATTTAAAAACAAATCACCAAGAGAATCAGTAAGAAGTCTTCTTTCCCTTAGGACTTGTACTCCCATTTGTTTTGTGCGTTGATGTTTTGCATTTCATGTTTCAACATCCTCAGAGCTGCAGTTCATTTTTGCGTTGCAGCTGTTCAGATCATCCTGGGTGGTAGTGGGAGGAGGAGGAGAAACATAAGATTCATGCAAAATTACATCTGGTGCAAAAATAAAAAATGAAATTAAAAAAAAGTCCAAACTCGCAGCCCACAGCAATTGGCACCTGAGACCACATTGGTGCTAACACAGCTTAGCGTAATCGGATTCCTTTTCTGTCCATGTAAAAGACTTGCGAGCGTCTAAACATGAGACAAATGCAAATGCTGGACCCTTTAGGAAAAGTGCCAGATCACACCCCTGGTGCTATTTCTCATGTTCTGGCACAGTGTGTAGCACGGTAGGGTCTAAGCAGAACCAAAATTATCACAGCTTTTTGTCCACCCGTGAATGATCACAATGACATCTTGCTAGCTCTGTGCAGATGTGCAATATTACAACCTGTTTCTTTCTCCTTGCCACAAAGCATCTTCCATGCACTGACTCATTGAGAGCTTGCTAACAGGGCTCAGTGAAATGGCACTCTTTACTGGTCTTAGTCTGACCATCGACCAGTGAAAGAGCCTCTTTCTTGCTTGATTCCCCCTCCCTACAGAGGTACCCTGTCCATGCTAGCGCTTTGTAATTTCTTTGGTAGTAAAGACTGTTTCTAGATAAATATTCTGTGGTGTAATTGTGTTTGTAGCTAGCATGGTTTGATGCTCCGGTGTGGATAAGGTCCTAGGAACCACCCTATGAAAGTCAAGGATAGGAAATCTCTCCATTGCACTGAAATTTCAAATCCTCATCCTGGAGAGCAATGTTGAGCTAATAACCACTACGAGCCAGCGACAGTGTCCAAGTTATATAACGTCCACCTACCTATTTACATTAATTTTCTATAGAGAAATTGTTGATGTTATACCTTCACCGTTACTTGCTCATCAGCACTATTCAAATTGTATTTTTGCTTTGGTTTTCTTACCTTTTTTGTTTTTCAAATTGTATCCCTGACCAGAGGATTCATGACTGACAACACAGAAGGATGTTTGTAGGAAACACAGTGTTAATGAAAAAAGTCTCAGTCTTCTTTTCAAGCTGCAGATTTAAAGCCATAATATCTGCCGTGTTCACAGAAAGTGGTCTTTTATCGCTCACAGCTTTTAATCTCAACATTTTTTCTCTTGAATGTTTCGTCTCCCATGTTATGCATGCGGTTCACTGTGCAACTGCATTCATGTGCTCAAGCCCATGCCTTGGTGGAATAAATGTATTTTCCAATTCCATTAAAAATCAGACATCTTGTCAATTAGTTCAGAAGTAAGAATGAGGTCGTCATTACATTAGAAAAAAAGGTTCCCATGTTAGGGCACAAATCAGCATCAAAGCTAACAGCAAATAGCATCTAAAAACTATTCAACATATAGCTAGCCTAGATCCTCAGCTGGTGTAAATCACAGTCACTCCATTGACTTCAGCAGAGTCCATGCCATTTGCACCACCTGAAGTTACACATCTGTCCTCCCCATCACACCGATATTTTAGCATTACTGTAAAACACCAAGGCTACCTGATTAAACAGCAGCTCAGCACTTTCCATCATTATTTACTACTTATATTACTGTAGCACCCAGAGGGCCAAGTCATGGACCAAGATCCTTTTGAGGCAGGTGCTGTGTAATTGCTAAACAAAAAGACACCCCATGGGCTAAATGCTATGGCCGGATTTTCAGAAGGCTTCAGCCCCACTGACATCTCACCAAGAGCAATAGGAACCACTACCCCCTTGGCCTTTTCGAGGCTGTCTTTAAGGTGAGGAGCATGAGACGTGATCCATTGTCCCTCACACCACGTTAGCAGCTTACGCCGTCTGGCCCTGACCTACAGCGCAGGCAACTTGCCCTGGTGTAAAACAGCATTTCTGGGGATGGGCAGTAGCCAGCATCTTAAGCAAGATCTTTAGGGAAAAAAAAGGCAAAAAAAAAAAAAAAAAGAAAAGAAAAAAAAAAAAGCAACACTGTTGGCTCTTAGTGGGATAGCAACCTTTTAATTTCTGGATTTGTGTTCCTAAATTTGAATCGGCCAGTCTGAATTCCCGAGTGCAGCAGCCTGTACTCAGCAGGCGGCTCCATCCGGCACGCTGGCCGGCGCGCGTCTCTTTAGCAGGATGTTTCTCAGTCCAGCTGTAGCGTGGGGTACTCAGAATCTGAACTGGAGTTTACAAAATTCCCTGTCCAGCTTACACTCCTGTTATGTGTAAATACTCTGCGCATCCATTCCATTTGTGTAAAGAATAAAGCACACACAATTATAAAAATTAAGATGTATATTTCATACTAGCTGTGTCCTTGCTTATTTATTCCGGTCCAAGCTCTCAGCTGTGGTTCAGTTGTAAATGCTTGATAGAGTGTTTATAAATATGTCATGAATTTTATTATAAAATATTAATATTAAAGCATTTTTACACTTTATAGCAAATGGCTTCTTCACAAGGCATAATTTGTCTTTTTTCCTTAAAGCAGAACAGTAAAAGAGAATGAATATGCTCTTAATATGTCTTGAGATGCTATCACATCTATCACACAAGACAGACACAAGTCTGGAAGTGGGATGGTGGTTTCAAAAATGACTGAGGATACAGAAAGTTTTTTCTTTCTTGCACTTTTTTTTTCTTTTTGACTTCACATTGACATGGAAGTTGCCATCAAGAAGATTCACTCTGGTGAAGTACTGCCACTTTCTCCTTACCCCACTTCTGTTGTGTATTGGGTATCATCTGCATTTTGGTGAATAATTATTAGAAATATTTTTTTTATTTAAGAATTGTTCCATGTTTCTGACATCACAGTGCAGCCATTGGGATAAAGATTATAACAATTACATGCCTGTAAGCAGCTTAGTGGAGTATAAACTCAGTTGTGCTGTGGGGTCTCAACAGCCCAAGAACCTTGGGTTTCGGCCATCCCAGGATTGTCTTTGCAGATGGCTTGTGGGCTC